TTGAGTGAGAGAGTGAGACAAAATATGCCTAGGGTTTCAAGATCGAAACTTCATCAAGTGAAATGTTTATGCACAAGGGTTCTATTTATAGAACCACTTATGTGGGCTGCAAGCTAAAAGCCCAATTAAGCCTACGGGTATCATACCTTATGATATACCGTATATCACTTAAGTGTGTGGTACCTTACCACATTCCATATTTCACTTAAGTGTATCGTACCTTACGGTGTTCTACAATTCACTTAAGTGCATCGTACCTTATGGTGTTCCTTATATACTATATCTCTCATCAACCCGTCCTTATGTGTGTGACCTTGTAGGTTTTCGTGACATTGACAATTATATTAAATCACATATTTAACATAATAAACAGTGAGAGGTATCTAGCAACACATCACTTCTACCCAAGTTACGAAAATGTCATGTGATTTGACAAAACTTTCCTTTGATAATATTTGTGTGTACAATTACCCTTTTGCCCTTATGTCTATATTGAACACAAGGCATAGACCGTGTCGCCCTTGTCCAGTTCAATATTAGACCCTTAGACATTTACCCTATTATGTAGGATGAGCAAATTCTATCTAGGTCACTCATATCCCCCAGCATGCTTTGTGAAGTATCCATCAATTGTCTTTATGGTCATCCCGTTACGGATAACATTTGATCAGCAATAAAGTACTTAACTTTACATCTAAGGTCTATAGTGGTTTCAGGTTTAAGGGTAGTATACATCATTACCACCATGAGAATAACTTATGACACCTTGCATAACATTCTATGTAGTATTCTTATAGCGGGTCAATCCAGTATAACTATTACTCTTAATATTCATACCTATATCAAGACTTGATAACTCCTTATCCATGATCCATGAGGTGTGATCATCAGTCTATCTTCATAATAATCTCAATGCTTTAATGTTATCACACTTTGCAATAAAGCTCGACTACAGATACTTTAAGAATTATGTTCTTATGTTTAATGGGATCTCATGATTAAGTCACACTTAACATTTCATTAAACAGAAGAACTATTCTAGGGACTTTATTATTTTGGAAAAGCAAACATAATAAAGAAATGCCTTTTATTATTAATAAATAATTTAATACAAGTACCAAAAGTATTGGCCTTTAGGGTTTACATGGTGGAAGAATGCCTCGAAGTCGATAAAGTACTGAACCCAAGCCTCATGGATGATGTGCTGAGAGATCTCGTCGAATAATTTGAAAACACCAGCCACCAAATCAGTCTCATCAATAGAGACGGAGAGGAAATCACAATTGAATAAGTACACTTTTAATTGCAGCAATTTGAGAGTCACATCAGAGTCAACACCAGCAACAGGAGAAGTTGCAGAAACAAGGACGACGGGTTCTTCTCAGATCTTTTGAAGTCTTCGCAAAGTCTTAGCCGAGTGCTTTTGTTTCATTGCAAGAATTTTCTCTTGGCTTAGGGAGTTGTTGGAACTAGTGTCTTGCAGGATGTGAAACTGAGGATTGACAGAAGTAGAGCGTACCAAATTATCACCAATATGAGCTTGCTAGTTATGGTTTTCCTAAAGAGGAGCATTATCAGTAGCATGCTTTCTATTAGCTTTAGTGTTTTCCTCACTGGTGGGTGCAGTCGAGGAATGAGTGGGACCATCGGGAAAAGTCGAGTGGGAAGTGATATCGATCGAAGGATCATTTCCAATTTCCAAGGCATCAGCATCTTTGGCCGAAGAAGTGTCAATGGATGGAGTAGTTCTAACCACTTCCTCGTGAACTTATGCCTGCAAATAGTACAAGAGTTAAAAAGAAGATTTTATTATCGTAAAAGGAAGTGGTGTAAGAAATCAATACCTCTTCAGTGGGCTGGACGTTTTGTTCTTCCTGAATTGGAATTGTTGGAGTTGGTTGTCGAGGAGGTGAAGTTTCCTCTTGATCATGAGTAGGAGAAGGTGGAGCATCAGCATCAACAGTCTTAGTTTTTAAGGTATTGGCTTTGAGGATAATCTTTTTGAGTTTTTTAGGCCTTTTGTGTTAGGCCCTTTGGGTTTGAGCATTCGATGATATGGTAGTAGTGCTTGTCGTTGATGTAGCCGCATGAATCGAATTCACAACGAGTCTGCCTACCCTTATTGTATTAGAGGGTTGTTCTCCATTATGGTTGTTCCTAGGGTTAAACATTTTTCTAATGTTTCTTCTAACTAGTTTGTTAACATTTTCTTTGATTGTCCTACCTCTCCTCAATCTCATGTACACTCAAAGTTTGAGAAGTTTTATTGGATGAAGAACATACAAAATTTAGAAAAATTTAAACTTTTAGCATAAAGTCCCACTGGACGTGCCAATTTGTTTACCGTGAAATTTGGTAAGCAAGCGCTAGTCTTTCAAAAAGGTTACTTGTAGGATCGACTAGATTGATCCTAGGACATATGTGTAAAAAGTTTGTTGAATTGTTATGTGATTTTCTTTGTAAAGGACAACAATTTCGATTTGGTTGAAATCTTTAAAGTAAATGCAAGATTGAAAGTAAATGCTGGAAAAAGTAAAGGTTTTTGACAGGAAATAAACGCTAAACATAAACTTCATGGAAAAGACTTTGCATAAATGAAAAGTGGTGTTTGAATACGTACATAGAACTCAATCACTCGTTTCTCACTTTGCTCAAATACTTTGAGTATTTTGTAATAATGTTAACACACTAAATTTTAATTTTAAGACTCCTATTTATACTAGAATCAAAATAACTATAACCAACGTTATTCTCTCCATGGAATGACACGTTCTCGCTTGCATGCACTTCGCCCTTCATAAGCTTCCACGTGTCCTTCAAGAATGGATAAGGTCAAAAGACGGTTAATTAGCCTCGTTTTAAATCACTTAGTCGAAATTGCCATCAAACTTATCCAAAAATATGTTAAGTCCTAAAACAGTATCATATTGAAGAAACGAAACTCCTTCAGCTAGCGCCCGTCGAAGTCTTTCCAAGGCTTGCTAGTCGAAAATACAACGACCTCATCTTAACTTTTGTAAACACCCCTTCAACCTTTCCTTGGTATATCAAGTCCCCATTAGCATGGAAATTCCAACTAACACATACATACAATCACCCCTTACCTCAAAATGGTTGGTCAGACGTTATGTTATCTCTTTTCCAACCGTTGTGGTAACACTTTTACGTAGTAGTGAATGTGGGACTTAGAAATCACATTTGTTTCTCAACACAACTCACATTTATTTCTCAATAACATCCCCCTCAAGTGTAAGTCCATCCATTTTCTCCCCCTCAAGAGAAAGCTCTTACATCCACATACTTGTACCGTCATTGACAGACACTATTACTCGTCATGGACACTATAACGGAACACTCCTCCTGACCACTATCATGTCAAAAAGACTTTAGATACAAGGAGTCAGTTCCTTACTTGAATCATACTCTGATATCACTGATGGATCATCATAAGGGATAAACATTCACATTGTGTCAAACATTCACCTAAAGATCAAAAATCCACCCGAATAAGTGAGAGAGAGAGAGACTATTATATATTCATCCAAAATGTTAAGGTGATAGATGTATGGATCGTCTCACTTAAAAAGTGTTAAACCTTCACTTTTCTAAGCAATGTGAGACTTAGAACTCACACTTATTTCTCAGCACACTTGCACTTATTTCTCAATACATAACATTTTATTATTATACATGTTAATATTCTCAACACCTTTCTCATGATTGTCAAAGAGGTTTACAACACCATTAGATATGAATAATTTCTCATGAAACTTTGTCTATAATTTGAGGTTGTCATAATTGCTTTGCTGAATACGAATCATGTTCTTTTTTTGGATACATGTGTTGGAGAACTTCTTTGAAAAGAATAATGTCTTCTTACTCAATAAACCATGTATCATGTTGTTGTCATTTTTTAGTCTCCAACAATTTCATAGATTGTTTGGAGTAGAAGTAAAGGTTGTGACATGTGACCGATCTAATGTTTCTCTTCCAAACAATTTGAACATGTTGTTCATAGTAAAAGTAAGAACTTCATAATTATTTTAAGTATTATAGTTATCTTTGATTGTTTCATGTTTTTCTCCATGACCAACACAACACCTCATGTATGTATTCCATATCACTGCTTCTAGCCCTTTCATTATTGGTGCATTTAATGGTGGTGCTCTACAACCTAAAATTATTCAACAAATGATACTTTATGCTCTTCTATCCTTGAAAATTAAAAGTCTGTTTGAATCGATGGAATTATATTCTATTGTTTAACTTTATAAAAAATAATGAAATGGAATGTGATGTAATCCATTCCATCCAATACTACAGTTTAGTTCATTTTTCATTTCACTTAAATATAGGTGTATCCAAATAGACTCTAAGGATAAATCTTCTAATGTTATTCGTCCATGATTTTTTGGTTATGTAGCATCCAATTACATGTGATATATTCCTCTGAATACTTATACAATTATGTTGGTGACATCAGTTCTAATTTTCTACACGTGTTCATATCGGATCGGATCTGCTAGCTTTAGCACGCGAAAGGCACAGTGCCTTTCTCTCATGTACTATATTCTCTTTCATTTTAATGTTTCCTTTTTTTATTTTATATTTAAAAAGAAATACTATAATTGGCCTAAAATTACCTAAAGGTATCTAGGCTAAAGTCAACATTTTCTTTTTATATCACTTGGACAATTTATTGTCTATTGGTCAACGTCTTATCATAATTATCTCGATTTGCGTGATTTTTTAAAAAATAATTAAATATTTTAGTGTGTAAGGAAAAAGAATCAAGTGGTAGATTTTATAATTCCGAATCCAAACTACCATTAGTGCAGTTACCATTCCTTCACAACCCAACAACCATTCCAACCAACAACACCAAGACTCACAGTTGAACACCAAGCAAGAATGAAGCACCTTCTTCAACAACACCTTAACCTCCTCTCTCTCTCCTCACCACCACCATTTCTCAGTTTCTCTCTCTCTCTCTCTCTACAATGCCAGAGCCACATTCCGCCTCCGCCACTCCTTCCGCAGGCAACACTGAAGACGAAAATGCTGAAGCTTCGGATAACCCCCGACGCGAGAACCGGCGCGTGAGCATCACCTACGGGAGCACCAATTTGAGAATGGCCGATGACTCCGCTCTTGTTAGAGATGAGAAGTGGTCCTGCTTGGCCGTTATCTTCAGCTTTTGGTTCTTCGGTCAGCTTTTGTTTATACATACTTGGTTTGAACACTCATGAATTTACTATGACATATTGAGATTAGTTTGTAATGTTATTACAGTTGCGGTGACGATGATAATGGGGGTGTACGGCTCAATGACCATGGTTCTAGGTCCGTGTTCTTCGATTGTTTTGCAACCTAACCCTGTGTTTGTGGAATATGTGAAGGTCAGTTTGTTATTATTATTTCTATCTGTTATCCATTTCTAGTTTGTGATGGGTTTATTTTATTTGCATTAGGTAGAAAACTTAGAGCCGAATCCAGGGCTCGTTCTTTATGGTACTTATCAATATCCACCTCTTGATGTTGTTTCCTTTTGGAGGGAAACTCGTAATATATCTATTCCTTATGGCGCAGATAAGGCAAGTATCTCTATTTCTCACTTTCTCCTGATTTAGAATTCGGATATTGCAAAATGGAAACCATTTCTAATTCATCTTGTTACTCGAGAGTCAAGTCTCACATTTCTTGTGCTTTATGGCTTCCCCAGGAATGGAAATATTATTTGAATAAAGGGTCTGAAGTAAATATTTCGTATAGCTTGAGCTCTGAAAATTCCTCTATTTATCTTGTAATTGCAGAAGGTATTCATTCTCGCTACATGAAATTTCAGTGGTTTCTCTATTCATTTTTTGTGATTTTGTTTCTCATGCATCCATCACTCACTGTGATTCTATCCATGTTTGACATGCGTCATTTTGAAGTGAAGTGATTCATGTGTATATATAGCTTTAGCGCAGATGTTCAATAGAATGCTAGAGCTACTTTTTATCATTTTTAATCAAACTGAAGGTTGCAGCCTTACCAAACATCTCATAGCAAATTTGAAATGTACTGCCTGTTTTAGTTATCATGGTGCTCAAGTCCATTGTAGTTATTATCTAGGACATACCAAAAATTTGCCTGCTATGCCATATTTAGTGATCATGTTATTCTTCTGCCTCTGCTTACAGGAGCTGAAAGTCTCTCATTGTGGCTGGAGGACCCAACATATCCCAATACAACTCTGTCTTGGAACGTGATCCATGGTGAGAAAGTTGTAAAAAATACTGTATTCAAATTCATATTATTATATACTGACATTTTTCTTCTTCTTCAAGGAACTGGTATGATTACACAAGAAATATTCACGTCATCGTACTATTATGTGGCCTTGGGTAATTTAGAAGATGAAGTGGAGGTATGTTTTTGCATTTCTATGCTATACTGGCTCCTGTAGTTGGTATAATTAATTACAATCTCTAGAATGACTGAAACCAAAAGTATGCATTGATTATGAAGCCCAGATGTGAAATCTACAAATGAAAGTTTCTATTAAAATATCTTTAAAGCGGGTAAAACATCATCATTGATCATTCTTATTCCCATTCTTTGTTTCTTGTTGTTGAATAGGTTGAATTAAACCTCACTGTAAGGGCCTTTATGCATAATACAACAAGTGCTTTCTACAAATGCGCCCCGACTAGTAGCCCGTGCAGTTTAAATATTTTCTTTCCAGATGGAAACGCAGCTGTCTTAGTCTCTCCTGCTCCACAGCAGGCAAGATTATTTGCTTTATTATATTACTTGCTTCATATAAATAGTAAGCAACAACAATAACCACACCTTAATGTTCTCTTTACTTTGGTTCAGAACACATCTAATGATGAGTGGTATGTCAAACTGACCTATGGACCAAGATGGCTTACATATATTTTTGGCATAGGTAGCCTCTTTATATAATCATCCTCGCTCGGTATTAATCCATAATGTTTTTATATGTTACTAAAGCTGCATCTCCCCACAGGTGTACTCACTGTAATCATGTTTTGGGCCTTCAACTTCTTGAACAAACTTCAGCGTGCCAATGATGATAGAGTAGGATCCAGATCTGAAGGAGCAGGACCTGATCGAGCCCCTTTGCTTTCTCGCAAAGATGATGATCTTTCAAGTTGGGGTTCATCATATGATTCCATACCGCAGGATGATGAGGATCTTAACTTCCTCACCGGTGGTTCCGCTGATGGTGAGACCAGTAATAATACTCGGCGTCTTTGTGCAATTTGTTTTGATGCTCCACGGGATTGCTTCTTCCTTCCATGCGGGCACTGTGTGGCTTGTTTTGCATGTGGAACTAGGTAAATTCATTGTCATCAAAACAAACACTTCTTCCTGATATCTGATGTTTTTTCTTGTATGGTGAATGATGTATGCTCAACCTTATCTAGCAGGATAGCTGAGGCAGCTGGTACATGTCCTGTTTGTCGTAGGAACATGAAGAAGGTGAGGAAAATTTTTACTGTGTGATCAGCACACTGAGCCACGGGCTAATTGAATAGCCAGCAGAGCCAATAATTACAATGATCAAGCTACTGCTCTCTGCTGGCAAGGAATGTATTTGTCATTGCATTATAACAAAATTACTGCCACCAGAGCCAATAATTACGATGATCAAACTAGTGCTCTCAACACAAGGCACGCATTCAACGATGCAACATTACCAAATTTATCACCATTCACAACATACAAACAAATTCACCAATTAATCATCATATAGTTATGTACTTACAACAACAATCCATAATTAATCATCATATAATTATGCAACTACAACACATAGTATATTCACCACATATCACTAACAACATTACTAATCAGCATTACATGTCTTTCATCCAATTGCTACGTCATTTAAACAATAACATTTAAGTAATTCAATTATTATTCAACAACGATAATCCATCACGATTAATTAAGCTCGTATTAAATAATCAACTATTCATCAACAACTAATTCCCATTGAAATATCACCAAAGAGTATTTATTCAATCACAACAATTAAGCTCCTTTCATAATCATTAGCCGTCAATGACATTACACCTTAAGTAAACCAGTATATTTATGTACTTAGTGCACACTTAGATTCTAAGGACATTACCATGAGATAGTACTACGCATTATCTTTCCAATGCTTCAAACTGTATAACAAACAGAGTTACGAAACTCAAGTTATGATGAAAATATTATTTTAACAGAATCAGCCTAATCGGCGACGGTTGGACCGTCACTGTAGCTAACGTTCATCAGCTCTTTCGCGACGCCCTGAACTACGGTAGAATTCTGCGTTGTTTAACCATTGGAGACCTTTCAGACCTCTGATTTCGATTCCTTAAAAAGTCAAACGCTCAGAATTCGACACCCAATAATTATATAACAATTATATAGCAACCAACACAAATTATACAGATCCAACATCAATTAATCATAACTTTTTCATAAATTCAAGGTTAGGTTTCAAAGTTTCAAGCACACAACAATGGCAACCAACAAAATTAAGAAAGCATTCAATATAACATGTATCAAAACAACATATTATATTGCACGAATTTCATATAATAACACGACATATAACATGGTTTTTTGCATGAATTCATTATCAACACACATAAAGCATCAACTCACAATAATGGAGAATAAAATCTATTGGAGAGGAATGACCTCTCCCTACCCTCATCATTCTAAACACCCATAAAATAGTAATCTCCTCTGTCACGGTGAAAAATCGAGGAGCTCAAGCTATTGAGAAACTTGACTCACAAAGACTTTAAGAAGTCACCACCAAACTTTATGGTTTCCAAGGAAAAAGGAAAAGAACGAAACTCTGTTGTTTAACATGCAATGCAAGAAGTAAAGATTAAAAGTAAAGCATAAGGAAGAGATCTAAGATACGGGGGTTGGTTATACAAAGGGTATAGTACTCTATAGGAACCACTTATAATATCCGTTTTTGGTTTAAAATTGTTTATTTGTTAAATAAGTGTGGAGATGGAAAAATAAGTGTATTTTATTAATGTTTGTTTGAAAAGACATAGTCTTATACATATGTATCAATTAAGGATCAAAACCTCGTAGTTCGTGGTAAAATTAACAAAAGGATTTGTTGTGGTTGATTTTAGGAGAAAAGATATTTCATCATCTTTTAGAGAGAAAAGCTCAACTAATATCACCACAAGTATGAGAAGATGGATCTTACATCATCATGAAGGAAAGACTACTAAATTGGATAAAAAGATCAACAAGTTGCCATTTAACATCTTCATGTGGAAATAATCATATTTACTTCAACAATTACTATAGGGGTAAGAGAATCATATCTCAACTAATAAAGAAGACTTTATATCTAATCTCTTTGAAAAAAGTTTTAAATTGAAAAGTCAAGTGGCAAAAAAAGATTTGAGTGAGGTTAAATCACTTTTAGTCTTTTGAAACAGTTTTAATATTATTAAGTATATTGAAGCATTTGATTAAAAAGAAAGTTTGAAAATGGAATGACACAAAGTCAATATTTTTATATGAAAGTGGTGAAAGTTTGAAAATGATTTTTAGGGTTAAAAGGTTTTTTAGAGTACATGAGAATATATAGGGTGATCATTTACAAGGATTTTATACAAAGGGTAAACATCAATAATTACAAGGGCAATATGTAAACACACAAGGATAAATTTAAGGCGGTGTATATGCACATGACTATAAAATCAACAATACTATCATTTTCCATGGATTTGGGACACAAGTATTAACACAAATGAATATAAACATCAATCAACATCACATGAGCATTTAAATTAATATCAAAGCAAATAAACATGTAAGCTTCATGGATTAGGGTTTCGCACAATCAAAACATCAATCAAGACCTCAAACATACGGTAAGAATCAAAACCCTAACGAGAATTATCAAAACAAAGCAACAAGTCATTTGAACTAATTATATTCATGGTATTAACATCACTTAATCTTGGTATAAAAATCACAAACAAGAAAATATATTAAAGTATCATGGTATTTAGGAGAGAATCATTTAAGAAAAATATTTTAATAGAAACAAGAAAAGAAACAATAATATTTAAATAATTTAAACAAAAAAACTATTTTTTGTTTTTTAATAATTAATATGTTTAAATAAAATATAAAAATATAATTAAAGTTTTGAATATAAAAAATAAATTTGTTTGGGTGTTTTAATATTTAAGTTGATAAAATAAAACTAAAGGAGGAAATAAAATAGGTTAAACTAAAACTAAAAAATAAATAGTAAGAAAAAGAAATAGAAAAAAATAAAAGAAAGAAGTCATAAAAATAATGGTTGATAGCTGTCAAGCCTTGAACACAGACCCTTGGGAATTGCGAGTTAAAATCTATATCGCTGAGCCACACACTTATAGTATTAATAAGACAAGTTCATTGAATAATATTTGAAATAACTCGGTGAATTTATGACAAAACAAAAATGATGGAAAAATACAAAAAGAGGACTCACTATAGATAGAACCCACACCCTTGTGTATGTAAAGTGTCTTTAACTAATGCTCTCTCCACTAAAGCACAATGTCAATTCATAAATATAATAGTTTCAACTAAATATAAAATAAACTTAATTTTTAAAACTGAAATTTGCATCACACTTTATCTTCTTCATCGTTACTATAACAATAACAACAACAATCGTAAAAATTCCAACTTCCTTATTTCTCAACCAAGTTCAAAAGTGTAAAAACTAAACTTGCTTGAAATTTCACAAGGAATTCAAAAATATGCTTAAAATTAATTATATCCACTATATCAAACGAATTTTAATCAAAACCAGAAAAACCTAATTTTTTTCAAAGTTAAATTAAATTGCACACAAGTTCAACCAATGCCTATTTTCATAAGGCTTTTATTCATGGTAATTAAACAAGCAGAATAATATCAAGAAATTTTCAAAATGATGCTTGTATGAGTGACTTTAAAATCAAGAAAAATTCACCTATTGAAGCAAGGTTCAATGCCTTCTTCAAGCACTTTTACTGATAACAAATGATCTTTTTAGCTTGTATGATATCCCAGAAACACAATGCAACTTTTAGTTTGCTTTGAAATTGTCTCAAACTCCCTAATCAAGTTCACTTATGTTGATGAATGAGAACAAGTTGGGTGGAGCAATGAGGGTGTTCCAGCCAAGAATCAATGCATACAGAAACTTAAAAATGGTGCATGGATGGTGTTTATGAGGTTAGTTTGCAAAGAACTTGCAAGAAATAAATTTTTTGAAGAAATGAATTTTTGACACAAAGATGGAGTTTTTTATTTTCACTATGAGTTTATGAGTGTTTGAGAGAGAATCCTTGTGTATTCAATGTGTCTTTTGAAGTGCAAATGAGTCTCCTATTTATAGGGAAAACTTAGAGATCAAGAGTTGGTTCCAATTTCAACTTGCGGAGTTATGGTTTGGTTGAGATGGAAGTAGCAAGTTTCATGAATTTTGAAGTCCCAATGCAAGCAGGCTTGGTTATAAAGTGGCTTGCAAGTTGTAGAGGGTTTCTTCTTGGATTTGCAATGCTTTGTGATCAGAAGCAACAAGATATGGGCTTAATGCAAAAAGTTTTGTGATTGAAGCTCCTTTGCAAGAATGGAAATGAAGCTTTTTGTAAAATGCTCCAAATATGACATGAAGAATTGGATAAAACCTCAATTCTTTGAGTAATGCACTTAGGATTTGTGTAAATATCATATTATGGAGAGATTTATAGATTTCATGACCTGTAAAGTAAGGTTATGTGGGATTTGGTTGGTTTGACATGAACTTGCACCGCAAATTTCCCTTGTAAAAAACATCTTCACCATGGTTACTTCATAAATTTGAAACTCATTGCTCAAGTATGATAAATTCATGCTCCTGGACTTTTTGGAAATCTTAAAACATTATCTACAACATTCATGTTGAACACTTTCCTTGAATCAATTGGGATCTTAGTAAAAAATGCCTTACAACTTTGTTGCTTTGGGCTCAAACAAGCACTTCAGATTTTTTTTCTAAGTGTTTGAGATTTTGACAATTTTGAGATGCTAACTTCATTAATTTATATCTTCAAATCTATGCATTTTTTGGAGATCAACCCTCATTGACAAAGTTGTAGTATGAATCACGCTCTACCATTTTTATGTTGAAAAATTTCCTTGAATCAGCTTGGATCTTGGTGAAACGTGTCTATGAAGTTGAGGCTTTATTAGGCATAAAACACTTGAAATTTCTAAGTGTTTAAAATTCTTCCAACTTTGACTTTTGTTGACTTTTCTTAATTCTCTTGATTCTTAATGATCAATTTGGATAGTTTTAAATGTTTTGATGATTCTTGATTTTTGAATTTCAATGTCAACTAAAAAGTCAAAGTTTGACTTTTGTATGACAGTTAACTTTTCATCTGTTGATTCCAATTCTTCCACTATCAATCAATTATATCTTTGGAAATGTCTTGAGACCTACA